TTCTATCACTTTTTTAGTGACAAACATCAATTTGTAATAAAAGTGACATTGTATGTCATTTTTTAATTAAAAACTGACACTTAGTGGCAGTGTGTCACTTTTTCATTGTCACTTTTTTTTTATTGGGTCACTTTTTCTATTAAAAAAAAGTGACAATGATTTTACACAGTATTTTTACTTCCAAAGCATGTTTCATATGATTTTTCAAAAGAAATGGTATTTTTGTAAGTTACCCTTTCATTTTCATAAAATTGACTTGGAAGAAAATTGGTCCTGAAAGCAATCAAATGAGACCAAAAGAAGTCCATCTGAACCGATTGCAAATTTGAGCCCATCTGAATTTGTCCATATAGCCAACTTTTCATTTACGTATATCTTTCGATATTAAACTTTAAAAAAAATTCTCGTTGAGGATAAATGTGTAAATGAGCAAAAATTGAGGGGAAAGTAACTGTATGGGGCTTTGCATGCAAAATAATTTTTTGACCAAAAAAGTGGAGGAATCAAGTGTACTTGAGATAATACAGAGAGAAAAAAGAGAGACGTGCGCGCAAAACAAGACTGATTTTGTCTTGTGTTTGACGCGTTACAGCTTCAAATCAAATATTAAATAAATAATTAAAAATAATAAAACCCATCAAAATAGAACCAAAAAGCTGTTGACTTTTAACTTCGATCATCAGCTCCAGATTTGATTATTTCAATAAGTCCCATAAGTATAAAGATTAATGTTTTTATTTTCTTTAATAATTTCGAGCCCGCAATCATCGGTTGAGTGTTCAGACTTTCAGAGGGCTTGAGTCAACCAATTTTATTTTCTTCATGTTAATTTGATCGAAGGATTTTTAAAAGATTATATTTAAATTTTAAATGTATAATAAACATGGTATAAAATAAATAAATCAGTTTTTAACCATCATTTTCATTTTCACACACGACTCACAACTCATCCTTAAAATCAAATCATCCTAAATTACTTAAAAAGCAACAATGCATGCTTTTTCACAGCAATGTCAGAAACAATTATATTGTTACATTTTATTACTTTTTTTTTTTTTTTTGAAAAAACACATTTTATTACTTTAAGTC